CCTCATCTGTAAAATGGGTGTAATAATTCTTGCCTTGGTGCTTCTGTGGGCCAGACAGGCTCTAAAATTCAGGGTGTCCTCTTCTACCCCTTATTACTTAAAAAGAAACCAAGACTTAGAGAAGTGTAAGAAACTGCTTGGGGTCACACAGCTTAGAAAATGGCAAAGCAGGAGGAAACCCTAGCACATTCCCAGAGACTGGGCCCTATGACCCCCAGAAGGAGCAGGCCTGGCTTTGTTTGGCCAGAGGGGGACTGCGAAGGTGAAGCTATGTGACCCACGGGCCCATTCCACCAGCTGACCTCATAGGAAAACATCCTCTGCACTGCCAGGCTCGGCCCATGGCATTATTACCAAGAATGCTGGGTATTTTGGAATCAGAGCCCTGGGTTCAAATCCCGGCTCCGCTTGTCCACCCTCTCTGAGCTTCAATGCCTGATATGGGGGAGAGGCACTAACTTCCTGACTCAGCCCTTGTGAGCGCCCCCGTCCCCACTCACTCAGTGATGAAGAATTGCTGCGTAATAGGTCAGAGTTAGCCGCAGTCACTGAACTCCCTTTGCCAGGGGCAAGGCCACTGTGTTTGAAAGGATTGCGCCCCCCAGTGGGTGTCCTTCTCCCTTCTCCTGCAGACCCTCCCCCACAAGACGAAGCTGGGAGTGGGGGCAAAGGAAGGCCAAGGGTTTGGTAAATGCAGCTACGTCTCCCCCTCCCCTTTGCAGCAAGCTTGAGCAGGAAGCCTATGAACTTTAGATTCCGGGAGATGGGAGATGGGAAGAGGGTTCCATCCATTCCAGCAAGTTCTGCAAGCTGCAGGCAGCACACACCATGAGCGCGATCTGACCACCGAGCCCAGAAAAGGGCCTTCAAGCCGCTATTTACAAAGGAGCATTTGAGTCACTTTCCTTCCCTCCTTGCACATGTAGAATGCGGGGGTGACTGATAGGGCAGTGGACCCCCAGCCCCTGCCTCTTAGAAGTGATGTTTGAATGTCACCGAGCACAGTGCCTGGCTCCTCACAGACGTACAAAGACTGGGAGCTGTGATGGTTCCTAACAAAAGGTGACCGGGTCGCTGTCTCACCTTGTCACCAGGACTGCTGCTTCGCATCTGTCACCATGCTCCGAAGGTAGCTGCCTATATTGACAGGTAAATAAGCAACCGGGTCCAGGGAGTGGGAGTCCAGCCTAAAGTGCCCGTCACCTCCGAAAGACAGCAGCGGGAGCTTGGCCAGGCCATTCATCACAGCCAGAGCCTTCGACGGCTGCATCCGACATCCTCTGGCAATGACAGTCTCCTTCCTCCTGCTCTTTCTACTTAGAATCTTTGGGACTGGGAAAGAATGCAGAGCCTCAACTCCCCAACCCTGAATTCTGCACAGAGCCAGGGGCCTTGGGACAGGGTGGGTCTGTGTTGGCCTGGAGAGGGTCTCTGGGCAGGGCTGATGTCAGCAGTCACAGGAGGAGGACCTGTAGCTGCTGGGCTGCCGGTGGGCACCGGGCGGGAGGGGCGGGCCAACGCACATATTTCCAAGTCCACCCCCTGCCTCCTCCAATAAGCCGTAAGCTTCACAAAGCCAGGGCCTGGGCCTCTCCCATTCTCAGCTTTACCCACAGTGCCTGCAACCAGGACATGGGGTAGCGGGTGGGCCAATAAATGTTTATTGATTGAATAAGTGTTCATTGAGTTCTAAATTCAGCTCTGCCATTGAGTGCCTTTGGAAAACCGGTGGTCTAGGGTTCCTTGTAACACCTGGGCACCTTGTTAAAAATGGCCTTAGGGTATGGACACAAGAGGAAACATTTGTGGGGACCATTTAACCCACCTGGATCCACGACCACGAACAGCCTCACTCTTGAAAGAACTTTGCTTACGTTAGCAGGGAAGCCATAGTGTGGCACGGCCGCGCAGATGGAGCCTCCGACGTGGGCATCAGATGGCAGAGAACAACGTCTCTGAGCCCAGAGAACAACGTCGCCACCGTTTACTGTGCCTTATGTGACAAGCACTGCGCTGAATGCTTCATACGCATCTGACTCCTGGCAGGATGCTGGTGCTAGCTTAGACCCATTTTACAGACTAGTAAAGGAGAGCCCGGAAAGAAGTGAACTCACTGAGGTCACACGGAGGGCATGCTGGATCTGGGGCACGAGTGGCGGAGACTAGGGGCAAGGCCACGCTGATGTCCCAGGTAGCAGAAGTGGTAGAAGTGAAGGCTCGCATGGTGCTTACCACCCTGGGCGCTGGGTGAGCACACTGCCCTTGGGAGCCTGGGGTCCACGTGGCGTTTCTGGAGTCATTTTGCAGGGAAGAGGATAAGGTTGCGTAAATATCTTCTGCTCCAGGCTGTGCTGGGTTATGGGGGGGGGGCTTAAGAGGCAGGGGGACTGTTGTCACCTCCTGGGATGTTAAATTGACGTTTAATGAGCATCTCCAGGATTTCTGTTTACCGCTGAACAATGAGGGGAGCTCTGTCGTTATCGCTTGGATTTAACCTTTTTGGGTGCATCGCTTGCACGTCGTGGAAGAATAATGACGGGTTTCTGCTTTTACAAAAACGTATTTCATAAAATAAACGTCCCATACATTTTTAACAGGGAACTCCGAAGATAATTTCATCTTTATTTTTCTTCATAGCCCTTCTCGCTCTCTGACAGTGTATTAATTTTCTTGCTTACTGTGTGTCTGCCGGCAGAAAGGCAGGGGGATTCTGCCCACCCGCCTCTGCACGCTCAGCCTGGGGACCGGTGCTGGCAGTTGGGAGGCACTCGACAAATACTGGCTGAGTGACTGCTCCTGGCAAATGAAGAGCAGCTCGTGGAAACACACAGGTTCCGGGCCCTGCAATGTCTCTGAAACTCCAATGGCAGGAAGGCCATGCAAACCCGTTCCTGACTTCCATAATTGCCTTTGTTTGGGGACCAAGTTGGGAGCTTGGGATGTATTTATCTGATCATTCTATGAGTAATAATGCTCGTTATTAACAAATTAAATCACCACCTACTTTTGCATAGTGCATATCATGGGCTGCGTGGTGACCCTCTAAAATTCATAGGACTAATCCCCAGAACTGAGAATGTGACTGTTATTTGGAGACAGAACCTTTAAAGAGGTGATTAAAATGTGGTCATTCAGGTGGGCCCTGATCTGATATAACTGGTGTCCTTATAAGAGGAAATGTGGACACACAGGGAGACGCCAGAGCCGGCATGTGAGGAAAGACCACACAAGAAACTGGCCATCTACAAGCCGAGGACCGAGGCCTTGGGAGAAACCACCCCCACCAACACCTTGATTTCAGACTTCCCATATCCAGAGCCAGGAGCAAATGCATTCTGTTGTTTAGGCCACCCAGGCTATAGTATTTTATGATGCCATCTCTAGCAAATGAATACATAATTTACTATCATCTGCTTTCCCAAATCTCATTGGATTCTATTAACTCTTAATCCCATTGCTGAGATGGGAAACTGAGGCCCAGTGAGGGCAGTAGCTCGTCTGAGGCTCCGAGACTCCATGGGTTCCATTGCGGGAACCTTGGGGAGAGCCTGCTACACGAGTGTGGGTCTTCCCCATGCTGACCCCACATCCAAGCTTTTGGGGGGTGCGTCCTCCGTGCCAGGGCCCTGACTCTTTGCAGAGGCCCCAGCTGCTTCCTCCATGTGTCCCAGCTCTTTGCAGTGAGCAGGGCCCCTCCTGGAATGGCAGGCGGGGGGTGGATGCTCCTCAAACGGCATTTGGTGCAGACTCGCCAAGGAGAGCGTCCCGGCATCGGGGACGGCAGAGCCCGCTGTGGCACCGCCCTGCTGCGTCGGAGAGGCAGGAAGACGGCGAGGTCTTCCCGAGAGGGGCTCCGGTGAATGGTGAGAGTGGTCAGAGCTGAGGCCTCCCCTTTTTGGAGTGAGCTCTTATCCGTTGTTATGGGGCGAATTGTGTGCCCACTGCCCCCACCAAAAGAAAAAAAACAAACCCAGATATGTTGAAGTTCTAACCCCCAGTTCCTCAGAAAGTGACCTTATTTGGAGGCAGTCTTTACAGAGGTAATCAAACAAAAATAAGGTCATTTGGGTGGATCCTTATCCAATAGAAAAAGGGGAAATTCAGACACAGGGACAGACAGACTCAGGGACGATGGCATGAGGAGACCCAGGGAGAAGAGGCTGTCATCCAGCTAAGGAGAGAGGCCCTCGCAGCTCTCAAGGAAATAACCTGGAGGACACCGTGATTTTTGGACTTCAACCCTCTAGAACTGTGAAACAATAAATTTCTGTCGTTTAAACCACCCGGTCTGTAGCACTTTGTCACAACAGCCTTAGCAAACTCATACACCAGTGATCCAAACAGGAATTCCTCCCCACTGGTGGATGCTGGGATTGGCTGCACCAGAGGGGTCTTAGGGATGGAGGCACATTTGGGGTGGGATATGGAGTCGACGTCAATGGGAATTTACATGGATGCAGCGTTGACTACCTAAGTGTGGGCACGCATACCTTGGCAAAAGGGAGTAAGTTCAAGGTTCTTGAACATTACTGTGGGTGCACATTTGTAGGGAGGCATGTGTTAATATGTCTGTGTGTCACATGCATTCAGGGTGCGTGGCCTCATTTATTTGTTCATTGGTTCATTCATTCATCAAAATTTCTTGAATGCTTGCGTACACTTACACACCATATAGATAAGTAAATAGGCAAAGGAAATACGGCAGCACAAGTGTGGGGATTAAGGGAGCATGCAGAAGGAGCACTGATTTCAGTTTGATATAGCAGGGAAGACTTCCTGGAGGAGGTAACGCCTGAGCTGAAACGGGCAGGTGAAGAGGAGGAGGAAGGTCATGGCATGTAGACACATAGGGAGAGAAATAGCCATATACACACCAAACTACAAACAGTTTGGGTTGGTTCCATTCTTTGGAACTGTTCTACCCCTAGCTACAGCCTACAGCAACCCTCCAGAGCCCCAGGTAGCATGGTGGTAGCACAGAGAGGAGGCACAGATGTCAGGGAGCCAACACTTTATTTTGTTCAGACCAAGCACACTGGAAGCCCAGCACCCTCGAGGGATCTGGCTCTGTGGGCCTGTCTCGCCTCTTGAGGGTGGCCTTGCTGGCTGGCTTCAGACTGAGGGCCCTGGGGGAGGCCTGGTCAGTCTCTCTCCAAACTGTTGTGGAGCTGGGAAGTCTTCAAGGGTGGCCGCATCTCAGGAGGCTGAAAGCACACACAGATCAGAGTTGATGAATGGGGAGAGGACGGGTAAGTTTTGCTGGAGAGAATGAATGGGCTGGAGGGGCTGGCCTTCTGCATTCCTGGGTGGCATTACTCTAGCGACTCTACCCGCCCAGAGGGAGGAAGGGCAGGATGTAGGCGGCAGACGGGAAACAAGAGGAGGAAAAGTTGGCACAGATTTCCCGAAATTTCCACGTGCAGGGTCACCTGGCATTCATTGCCTCCACCGGATGCCGCGCTCTGTGCCAGAAATCTCTCGTACTCTCGTGAAACCCACAGAGTGACTTTAGGCTGTTGGTATTAACACCCCCATTTCCAGCGGAGGACAGATGTTCAGCAAGACTGTATCACTTGCCCAAGGTCACACAGCTGCCTACGGGGAAGAACCGAGCTTCCAGGGGCTTGTTTGGTTCCAAAGGCCCCATACATTTGCATCTCGGGGGCTGTGGCTGTACTGTGTAGCTCAAAACGTACATCCTCAAAGAAGAACCCTGCTTGGGGGAGGGAAGGGGACTTGAGTTTAAGAAAAGAGTGGCAGAGACAAGCTGTTCCATGATGACTTCTGCTCGGGACTGTGCCCCTTGCGGACGTGTGCCCTTTACTTGGCCTTTGAAACTGCTTTCTGTTTCCCCGGGAGTATAATCATGTAAATGAATATCAGATCTTTACTCAGTAATTGAGAGCAGAGAGAAGGCCATGTCAAGCCAAATTAGTTTGCTCTGATAGAGCCCAAGCCCATCTCCACGGAAATGGCTTTTTGATGGGCCGAGGGAGGTCCTCGCAGAAGCAGGTCTCTGGAAGTGGAGGACGTGGGGCTCATGCGGGTCAAGGTGGCCCGGGGGCTGCAGCAAGCCTCGTGCCAAGCAGCCACGTGCAATGGCGCGACCACCTGGGCCTTGAGCCGCTGCGAGTTCTGAGATTCAGCGACTAGGAGATTTATACAAAGGCTGTGTGTGGGCTGTGGGGCAGCTCTGACGTCACTCATGAAGATGGCTGGAATAGTGTTCCTAAGCAAAACTTTTATAGAGAAATGCAGGGATTCTAGAGTTTGGAATCCCAGTTCTGCCTTGGTGATTTTGTTGCAAGTGACTTAACCTGTCTGATCCTCAGTTTATCGGCCTATAAAATGGGAATAAATAACACTAACCACCGCTTGGGGTTATGAAGAGTATTTAGGGCTGCCTGGCACAGATGCTCAGTAAATGTAAGCCGCTGTTAGCAATGAACTCCTCTTCCTACCTTTATTGGGGGACGTGCCAGGATTAGTGCTAGGAGGAGGAGGGAGGGCAGAGAGAATTCGCTTCTTCCACACTGTTGTTCTGTGACCTTTGCATTTGCCCCCTTCACCCCCAACCTTGGTAGAATGGGATTACGAAATTGACACTAGGATGGGGAAACTTTAAAAGTCCGGCACCTTCTTTGGCATCTTTCCCCAACACCCTCTTGCTTTCGGATGAGGCTGCATTTCAAACAACAAAAATACAGCAGAGGGATTCTGATAAGCAACACGTTACTTTAGCTAAAACACCCTGAAACCCTCGTCCCTAGAGATCATCAGTCCCGGCACTAAAGGCAGTAACAGCACCTGGGCTCCTGAAGGCTGCCAGATCTGGCGAACACTCTTGTTTTCACTCCCCAGGAAGAGTGGTCCCAGCCTTTGCTTTTACCTGAGCTGGTTCCTACTTCTGGAGATACTTCTTCATTATGCTCTCAACGTCATCCTCTTTCCTCCCGGCCCCCGGCTCTCTGTGCTCGGGGGACGTTCTCTCACCACCGTCACCTGCAGGTCGTGGGACTCCCGGTCGACTCTTGATGCTGTCGGCACTTTTGAAGGACACGATGGAGCTGGAGGATGAGGATGAGTCGGACAGGTGGGCGGGGTCCTCCCTGGGCTCCGGGCTCTTTTTCAAAATGGTCTTGATCCCCGAGAGATAGGAACGGTCAGCCTCTTCCGTCTCAAAGTGGACACTTGAACGCTTTGAAGCATCTTGCCTGTCTTTGGCCGCCCTGGCCAAGGACGTAGGTGTGTCAGGCTTCCGGATGGCCGGGAGGAAGTCATCAAAGTCCACTTTGGTCTTGCGTGCGTAGTCGAGGCTAGGGAGCTTCCAAGTGAACGGGTCCCTGCCTAGAGGTTCCTCCATCAGGTGGGCAAACTGGCGGTTCTGGAAGACGAGTGGCTCCTTCCCGAGGTCTGGACAGCCCGCGTCGTCCACTGAGGACTCCAGACACCGCCTCCGAGGACGCAGCGTGGGTGACAAGAGCACGTCCCTGGGTCTGGTCGGGGAGCTCAATTTTCGCCCCAAGTTTGGTGTGGATTCTAAGAGAGACTCGCAGGAACTGAACCGGGTCTTCGGCTTCTCGGGCAGCAGGGACGTGCCCTCAACGCCATCTGAAGAGATGCATTTCAGACTGGTGGACCGCGGGAGGCCAGCCGACGTCCCAGCGGCCCCCTCCAATTCCAGGGGTGATTTTGACCCAAACCTCAGTGAGAGGTCTCCCTCATCGCTGCTGGCTCTGCCCCTCCTGAGCGTGGAAGCCCCGGTAGTCTGATAAATGGGGAGAGTGGGCCAGTCCTCCAGGCCCAGCGTGGACCCCTGGCCTCTCTGGGCTCTCTTCCTCCGAAGTCCTTCCACGAACTCCGAGAGGGCCGCAGAAGGACTGGGCAGCTTTTCCCTTGACAGCGGGGATGTATCTGCACTCCGAGAAGCCAGGGGAGAAGATCGAGCTTCTAATCTCTCCGTGGGCTTTGTGTTGACACCGGACCCTTCACCATCCCCAAAATGACAGTACTTTTGCCGGCGGAGCGAGTGGGGAGACACGGGCTTGTCTCCCGAGCTCTTGCTACGGACATCCTGGGCTCTGCTCAGCACCGACGCCCATTGGGCCATCTCAGCATCCCCGGCCTCTTCGTTCATCCTGTGCCGAGAAGAAAAATGCAGTCGGTGTAAATTGTACAATTCATACAATTTGTGCAATCGGTGTGAGAGCCACTAAGCACAGGCACTAATATTATTTTTCTTTGGAAATGCCATCCCTAACGCACTCTCAAATGAACCATATGATTTAATGTGCAAATTCAAGCCATGTAAATGATTTCTTGTTGCTTTCTGAAATGCAATTTCTGTCTATAATTAAACCCAGCTAAGTACATTTGAGTAGATTAAAACTGTAGCTAGGAAGGATGAATTAGATTTATGAGGCATCATCTCTGACAGGATAGGACCTATCATCCCAGAGCCTACTGTGAAATAAGTAATTTGGCTCTTCAAGACTAGAAGGGGGAACACAGGGGCTATTTATTTATTTAGGGCCCAGCCCAGAGGCAGTCCCACCAAGCGGGGCTCTGAGAGTCAACGATCCAAACACGCGTCTCCGAGGGCCGCTCTGCCACATCCCGGATTATTTCATGGGGTGAGGTTTCTTGGGGGACGGGGGTAAAATCGATCTCCCCACCAAGAGGAAAGGATTCACATGAAACCAAGTTGAAACCAAGGCTATACACAAGCGGACAGACGGTTGCTATTCTGGGACTACACCAGACGCAGTTTTTATGCAGAGGGAGTTTGTAGCAGCGGCGCCAAAAACACTTTGCCTCGGAAAAGCAGGAACCTCGCGGTGGGACGAAATTATAGACTATAAAATAAAGGGCCTCATTTAAAGGAGAGAGACTGGAGTCCATCAACCCTTCCTTTCCTAAATAAAATCTATTTGTCCTCCCTCTAGGAGAAACTACCCCTTTCCCGCCCACCAGCAAAGTTATAATTTATACAAAAGCAAAAGAGGTACCAAATGTCAGAGTGTTGGCGTCGCAGACAAAGCCTCGGGCTCAGGCCTGAACTGAGGCCGAGAGCAATACAGACGTAGGTTTCCAATCAGGAGCCTCTGAGTGCTTTGTTGCTCGAACTCTAACAGGACAATTGCAGGAATGAGGATTCTATACACAGAAGATGATGGGATTCTGCCATAAGACTCGGGAGAAGGCTTCTTGCCTACTCAGTGGGATGCTGCCAGCCACCTCTACCCACGATCACACAGCGCAGTTTAGGAGAAAAATGGCTGACCACGATGGCCCCACTGGCTTTTGAATCTGGGAAGGAAGCCAAGCCAAAGGCGCCTGGGGGTGGTGCCTCGGAAGGCATGGAAGGGGACGGATAGGATAGGGGATCAGGGAAGTGGGTAGGCACTGCATAGACTGGACGTTGTGTCCCCAACAAGTTTGCATGTTGAAACCTCATCCCCCATGTGACGGTGCTGGGAAGCGAGGCCTTCGGGGAAGTGATTAGGTCATGACAGCAGAGCCCTCGTGGATGGGGTTAGTGCCGTTATAGTAAGAGATCCCAGAGGGCCTTTTCCACCATGTGAGTTCACGGCGAGAAGACGGCCTTCTATGAACCAGACACTGAATATGGCAGGACCTGGATCTTGGACTTCCCAGCCTCTAGAGCCATGAGAAATAAATTTCTGTTGTGTATGAGCCACCCAGACTACGGTATTTTTGCTATAGTAGCCAGGACGGACGGAGACAGGCACCTAGACACTGCCTTCCTAAGCCCCTGAGGACAGAGCTTCAACCATCCCACGAGCCTGTCTCCTCCGGGGCTGGCAGGAGGAGACCCAGAGCCGGCTGGGGTCCCCTGCCCCTCCCTATTCCCCGTGTCAGACGGTGGCAGGAGAGTTGACGCCACGGTTGAGGTGGTGGTCAGGTGAGCTGCCTCCTCTCTCATTCTCCTCGCCATTCCCCCGTCCTTCTCTTGCGTGGTCAGACTCCCCCGACCACCCCGTGCCCTCCCCTTTCCCACTATGCTCGGCTACACTGGCCTCCCGGGACAGGCCAAGCCCTGCCTGCTGCCGGTTCGCACTTGCTGTTCCCTTTACCCGAAGTGCACCCTCCACGCCCCCCACCCCCAGGTCACAGAGCCAACCTCATGGGGCAGTCAGGGGCATGAAAGAAGAGCCCTTGATACTGTGCCTGGCGCCTGATTACTCAGATAATGGTTGAGGGTTATGGTGAACAATTAATAACTAATCACGAAGGACTGTTAATCACGAGTCATTCACGATGAAGCGAAAGCGCTATCACTGCTCCTAGTCTCTGACTCTTCAGAGCCCAACACTGGCGCTGGACTCAATAAAACTCGCAGTGGAAGTTCCGAGAGGAATGTCCCAGAAGAAAGGATGGGCAGGTGACCTTGCACCTCATCATTTGTGAGAAGTGTGGGCTCCCGCAGCCGGACACAGGCTGGGAGAGGAGATGGAGGGCTCCTTTATGATCACCTGAAGGAGTGTTTGTCAACATTATTGCTTTGCTCGCTCCCCTAATATGCGGCAAGATGGCATTCACATACGCCTATATTTCTTTTTCTTTTTTAATAAACAGCTCGGAGCTGCCAGGGGCAGTGGGCCGCCGCAGAGCTGACAAAAGTCATTTCCGTCCTGTCCTGGCCCTGAAAGGAGGCGGGTGTGATGAATGTGTCTTGGACGCGCTGTCTCATCCGTCGCCTGCCACGTGAGGATGGCAGCGGCGGAGGCTCCTGTCACCGAAGCTCCTGGGACTCTGCCGTCCTGTCCTGCTCGCCCCAGCTCCCACCACCACGGTGGCCACAGATGCCAGGGCAGGGCCTGGGGAGAGGGAGGGAAGCAAGTCACAGGACGAGGAGGAGGAGGAGGAGGGAAGATGAGCCAAGGACACAGGAAAAAGGGAATGAAAGCGGAGGTAGGAGAACCACAGACCACAAGCCTGGACCGGCCGGACTCTGCTGACTATCACTTCTGTGTCTCCTGAGCTAGCACGGAGCCCAGCACACAGCAGGTGCTCAGGAAATGCTGTAGAACTCGATCCAGGTGCACGAAGAAGAGGCGGGAAGACAGAAGCAGAGAGAGGGCAGAGATGAGGGGAGAAGAGAGGGAGGGTTAGAGGGTGAGAGAAGAGGAAGTGAGAATGGATTGGGGGGATGGCGAGGAAGGGGACAGGGTGGGGTGATGAAGAGGAGGGGAAGGAGGGGATCGAAGCCAAAGGCAAGAGGGGGAGAAGGGGATGCCAAGGATGCTCTGCAGGCTGGCGACAGAGGACCTGCCTTCTTCAACTTTGAAATAAAGGTGGGACAGGCTGGGCCCATGGAGAAGCAGCCGGAGCCCGGAAGTGGGGGCCCGGAAGTCGCAGGCTGGGAATGCCGGCATGCAGGTCGGGAGGACCCAGGAGGAGCAATGCCTTCCACAAGGTGTGGAAGCCACTCAGCCCCAGCCCGGCCGCCACAGCGGGCCCAAGGGCCGGAGGTCTTGAGATGGGGTGGGCTGAGTCCGACCTTTCCAGAACGGCCTGGTGCCTTTGGAGCCTCAGCCGGTGAGCTTGGAACAGGAACACAAGCCACGCAGTGTAGACTCCTGGGGAACTGGAGAGGAGAGGTAGTGAGGGAAGCGTGAGGAGGGAGGGAGGGGAGACGGGGAGGGGAGGGGAAGAAGGAAAAAAAGAAAGAAGCCACCTACGCCAGGCTGAGCGCTTCCTCCTGGCTTTGCCATGCAGAAATCCACCTACAGCTCTGCGCCTGCTTGTTCTAGCTCCCGTCTGCCTTACCCCTCAGGGCAAGAGCTTCCTCGCCTCCCCTCCTGTCTGGGTGGAGACTGCAGATTGTAGTCGGAGTTAGGCACCCTCTTGTAGTCTTTGAGGTGAGGACCCTAAGCTCTGCTGTCAGAAGCTACATGATCCTGTCCCTTCCTGTCCCAGCTTTGGACACTCCAAACACATCCCACCTGACTTCATCCAAGGGCCCGAGGAAGACTCTTTTTTCTTTTTGTTCCAGCCGTCCTTACAGGACGGCATGACCCAGATGGGACTCCACTGGCACTGCGTGAGGGGTAGACAGCAGATAGTCAAGATGCCTGCCTCCCAGAGCCTGGGCCGGGGGAGGGATGATGTAAACAGGCTCTGCGAGTCCCTGGGAGACAGGTGTGGGCAGGATGGGGGGTGCTGTTAGTCTCTAAGGAGAGGCTCCAGAAAGATCTTGGCGACTTCCGCTGCCTGCCCCATAGTCAGTCCAAAAGAGGAACAGCCTCCTGGCATACCTTCCAGGGGCTGGTCCTGTAATTGAGTGAAGGGGACAGTCAATCATCACTATGGCTGCCCATGGCTGAGCACCTACTGTGTGCCAGGCACAGCACCCGGGATACAGGCGAGGACAAACTGACAGTCCCTGCCCTCCTGGCAGCCCTGTGAGGCAGGGATTATGACCTCCAGTCACAGAGAGGTTGCGTGGTGACCTCCGCAAGCACACACAGCTGGGAAGTGGCAGGGGTGGGGTTGCAACCCCAGGTTAGCTGACCCCACAACCAGGAACAGTCTTCTCTGTAATCTTTTCCAGAGCCTGTGATATGACACAAAGAGTTAATAGTAATTCCTATATCACCTTGTCTAGATAATGCCTTTACGGCTTGGGACCTAGTATGGTTCTGCAACTCTCTAGCCACAGGGCCTTGGGATTGTCACCTAACTTCTTTAGGCCTCAGTTTACTCAGCTGTAAAAAGGGTGAATCCAGATCAACACTGCAATGTTGTGAAGATGAGAGCTCCATGGGGGCAGGGATTTTTATTCATTGTATTCACTGTTACCAATGCCTCAAACAGTGTCCTCGTACATAGTAGATGCTTAGTAAATCTGTGTTGAATGAATGAGAGAAGCACAGGGTCATGGTACATAGTAGGTTCTCCATAAGCACGTGTTAGATGAATGAGTGAATCTCCAGGTCTCTGGCACATAGTAGGTGCTCAATAAATATATGTTCAATTTATGAGTGATGCTCCAGTGTCTGTCGCATAGTAGGTTCCAATAAATGTTGGTTATGTGAATTGATGAATAAGAGCATGTATATGCTCTTATTAAATGCTCTAAGTATTGATTACTTCAAATTATACAGGATTATTA